TGACGAGGTCTGTTCAGGCGACGATTGGTCCCCCCCAGAGCCATATATCTGGAAACTTTGATCTGCTCCCCAGTTGGCCATTTGCGTGTAATTCTCGAAGGCATTCTATCTTAACGTTAGAACATCCCTCTAGTTGTACAAAGAGGACAGCTTACCCAGTCAAAGTTGGCGGCCATGTCCATCCCAGCATTATTGCTGGCCCCCAGATTGCCAAACATGGATGAGAAAGGAGAAGCTGGGCCAGCCCCTGCGAAGCCATCTGTCTGAAAGTCTATACCTTCGGGACCAGGCATGCCGAAATCCATACCCATAAATGCCGCTGGATTAGGCGTCGAGAAGGGGTTGGCTGTCGCGTTGAACTCTGGGAGGCTGTTGGGTGAAACAAAACCGGGAGCCATAGGCGGCGATATGTCAGCTCCAAGACCTAGCATCAAGCCGGGCATTGGAGATGGCACGCCTGGCACATCTTCGTTGCTCGAGGTAGGATCTTTGATTTTGTCCAGCATAATATCGATAACTTTGGCTGCCTTGAACGCTTCCATAGACGTGTCGGCGAGCGTGTTCCAAATCTTTCTCGCGGTTTCCAGACTACCAATCATCTTTGATCGTTGGTCGTCGTTCCACATTGCAGCGCCCTCATCGTCTTGACGAACCGAGGACTGCGCGGCTATGTTGTCAAAGTGTAGATCAAGAATAACCAGCATGGCAGGCAGAGTGAAGTCCTTGGTAGCAATGGATTTGACGAACCAACCCACTGACCGCAACCTTCCATTAGACTGCGACTCCCGGTGCAGAACCGCGAGGTGGTCAAGGGCTGTCAACGACGCCTCGATTGCGGCCCTTCGAGAGTGCGCGTATCTCGGGCTTTGCCTTGCCCTAGGAAGATACTTACGGTGTAATAGACAGAGAATCTTTTGGTAGAGGATATCGACATTGAACCTGGCGATGATTAATGTCACTGGGTCATGAGACCCTTCCAGCGTTGTCAACTTTAAGTGTGGAGGCAACTCTTGCATGATTTGACGCAGTTTGGCATCAAAACGGATAACCTCGTCGTAAGGCACATGCTTGCCCACTTGACCCGTCGATTGGAGGATATTCCCAAGCTCGTTACACAGTCTCGACTTGGCAATCATATACGCGATTGGAGTGGCTACTGTGGATGGTCGGGAAGGCGGCAATTCCTTGATGTCGGGATAAAACTCGTCGTCAAAGATGTTGTTGGGTAGTTGAGTATCGCAATCATTCTCATAGATCATGCTGGGTAAAGACACTTGGTGGGAGAAGATGACATCGGACATTCTCACAAGAGCCCACGTTCGCCGTCTCATTTCCTACAATGGTCAGTGAGCAAATCATCCTATTGTATCTGCGTGCCTAAGTGGAGAAAACCTACAGCTTGAAATGGTGTAATTGTCGGGAACCACTTGGCGTCTCTATGATAGCCCATTCGAAAGGCGATTCGAACAATCAAGGAGACAATCAACCAGAGACCCAAGTCGGCATCCCATCTGGACGAATACTCCCCGAATACATAGAGAATCATGGTCTCAACTGTATACTCGTTGGGCTTTGTATAATCTGATTTGACGAGACACTGTACTGTTCGCAACCGATATTCGTTTGCCAGTTCCAGAGTTCGGCCTCGCCACTCAGGAGGTTCATCGCCTACCTTGTGATAACTCAACATTGCTAGGCAAAGAACTGAGTAAAGCATGCCAAGCCACATGATGGGCGTCTTGTTAGGATCTTGCCAGTGATCTTTCAACTGCTGTTGGAAGGTTGGTCCGTGGATGATGTTAACGGCGTTATCCATAGAGTTAAAATACCGACTGCAGAGCGTTAGGACAGCTGATTTGGGTGGGAGTTCTGCTCGTATTTCGATTTCAGAGGCTGGCGTGGCCCCTAGTAGCAGCGTAGGTCCTTCTCGCGCAGCCTGGGGCTTGGATGACTTGACTCGCTCGTAACTCGACTCCAACTCCTTTTTATGGGAAGTAAAGTAATTTTTTACTTCGGAGATGTCGGCAAGGATGGTGTGCCAATGCTCCTGGCCAACGTATAATGATTTCCCCTTGTCTGTATCGACCTTGAGGAAACCCAAAGAAGTGGCCAGCCCGTCCTCCTCGTCGCTGTTCTCCTCCTCGTCATACGTCATTGCATTTTCATCTTCTCTCTCGACCTTTGCGGAAGATCCGCTGTCCGTGGCGGAACGCGTTGCCGCTCCAGCAGCTGCGGCGGACGCAGCATCTATGTTAGCACCTCCGTGCATGAGGGATAAAACTAGGCCTTCTAAACGGTCAATACGATTCTGCATGTCATCAGGACTTGAGTCTCCTTGACTTTGATTCTTCTTGCGAGAGACTGGTGTAGCGTAAGAGCATGAGCTTGTGTTCATGCCCTCACGCTTCGTACAGTTGCTGCAAGGATGGCTTCTGTCACATTTTCTACTGTGTGTTAGTGATAAGAATCTCGTGGGAGGCTTGTTTAGCTCACAATCTGCCAACACGGTTAGTAGAGAATACCAGCATACGTAGGTATCGTAGGATCGAGATGAACGTACTTGCGTGTCCTACAAGGATAACAGCTAAGAGGGACACGGTTCCTCTTCCTCACAACGCGAAACTGCTCCTCGGGAGAGCGGCCTCCTTGAGATGAGTTGGTCGAAGGGGGTGTTGGGGTCATTCTGGACAAGGGGAAACGAGACGATATATCTCGACAGATGAGGTGGGGGATCTGGTCTCGTGTGTGAGAAACAAGAGATCTGAGGCAAGACTTGTTCAGGTCGAGGGAGCACCAGCACCAATATATCGAGGCTCAAGCGGTTGATTGCACGAGAGAGACTAGGCTATTATGAATGGCTGGATAACAGAACACTGCCGCAACTACGGCAACCCGGTCAGAGAAGACTGTCGTCGTCTGACCAGAACAGACCGGACCGGGACTTGCGGCTCCAAGATTCAGTCAAACACTGGGATGGGCCAATGTTGATGGCTGAACAGAAAGTCCAGTCCAATGCAACTGGAGCCGTTTCGCACCAATTAAGCTCCTATGGTAGGGACCTGGAGGTGGCGTCGGTCAAGTCAAGTCCGACACGTCCGCGCCGCCTTAGAGCTACAGAGTAAGGCAAAGAGTAGGTAGATACACGCAGGATGAAATAGCACGGTATGGAACAGCCTTCTTCCTCAGTGCAGTACAGTACAAGACAGTGATAGCCTAGATAGGACGGCGACAATCCGTGTAGAGTTTGGGGGCTAAGGGAACTCCAAAGTTGTGGTGCTGTCAGCTCTTTCTTTTTTTGTCGACGCTGAGCGAGACGGGAATCGCTGTATGCGACTGCGACTGCGGGTAGCGAAAAAAGCGCCGGTCTCTCAATTGGGGGGAAGAGCGAGAGGCGAAAAATACAGAGAGAAGCGAGAGGCTATAGTAAGGCAAAATGGCGGGTTGTTTTGGGGTCAGGGTTCTTCAGTCCATAGGTAGGTAATGGCCGTAAGCTCAGTCAGCAGAGAGCAGATGACGAGGGAAGGATGGCGATTCCCAACCACAGGAACTGGAGAAGCCAAAGTGTTGACAATAAAGGTGTAGTGCAGTAATGCAGAGGAGTTCGGGGTCTCCGAATGCCTTAATTCTATTATAGAGAAAAAGAAGATCTTTGAGTCAAAAGGTGAAAGAAAATGGGCTAGCTAGGTAGCAACTACTGAACGAACCCAAGTCTGAATTTATGGTCTGAATGTCAGCATCAGCCTTATTAACCCGTAGACAGGATCAGGGGAGCTACCTAGAGCACTGATGCCCCTACCTAAGTACCTGTTGCAATAATTAGGCACCGCAGTTGGTTCAAGGTTTGCGTACTCCTCACCAACATGCATTGGGATTAGACGATATACCTGCTAATCATGGTGGGGCTGGTGTATAGAGAGATGAGGAAACTTATGTTTTTCGCTCCTTTCCCTTTCGCCAACATGGATAGATCCAAGAGCTCAAAACTCGTCTCTACATATCCTACAGTAAGTGACTTGTTATTCAAAGAGCTTCTATTCTCAGTGCTCGAATGGGTATAGCAACTGATGGCGTCAGACATTTGCAGTCTCGTCATTCAACGGGCGTAAAACAACGAGTTCCTCTAAAAAAAGGAACCACAATGGGCTGCTACAAGAGCCGAAAATCCTCAGCAAGGTAGGTAATCTTTGGTGCTACCTCTACGGCTCTAACCTGTTGGCCTGTGACTCATTCTTTTTCTCGCTCATCCTATGGATATTTCGGACTTCGGAGCTGAAGCTTGATTATCACCGATATTTGTCATATTCAGTCACTCCACCCTTTTTTACTTTATGAATTGGGTCGCTCTAGAATAGCTGTCTGTCCAATAATATTCGTCTCTATATCTTCTCTGGTTTGTCGATCATTAGATTACCAACAATCCAGTCCTTAGATTTCATGACAATACTGGAGTGCACAAGCGTTAACTTACATGCGAGACTACAGCACATTGGAAACCAACGACGTGAGCAAGAAGGGTGCGATTGATATGCGGTAGACTCTATATTGCTCGCCTTCTCTGCATTTGTTACTTGTTTTGTCTTCCAATATCTCTGATACCTATTCCATGCAACCTGCTATTCGCAAACGCATATATTCGATGAGGTTTGAGGGCCATAATTCAGATCTCTCGCCGAGAGCCGATACTTCCTTAAGGGGGTATGTTCAAACCCCATCGCCTCCGTTCGAATAACCATGGTCTTGAACAATTCTCGTCCGCCAACACCCAACCCTCCCCAGAACTTCAAATCTTCCCATGGTTATACGCCCATAAACCGTCCTCCGGTCCATCGCCCTCAGAATTGGATGCTCGACGTCGCGCCGCTGAACGTCGCTACTTGAAGGGCCAAAGTCTACTAATAGCTAGGCAGTACGGCATTCAACAACAACCGACTGCAGGGCCACATTCACGCATGCAAACAAAACGTGCATCATCAATCTCATTGCAATGCATATATTCCGTTTCAAGGCGCTGCAGGAGCGTTCACGCTGTACTTGGTAAGAAATTCGGCATCGTTGCTCATCTCCTCTTTGACCTGTTGATTTGTCAGCATGAGGTTAAAGGCCTTACATCAGGCAAAACTTACAATATCCAAGCCGCCAACAAGCTCACCATCGATCCAAAGTTGGGGGTACGTTGGCCAATCCGCAAACTCCTTGAGTCCCTGTCGGACCTCGTCGTCGGCAAGAATGTTGAAGAATCCATACTTGACTGAGTTGTCTCGTAGCAAACCAACCAGCTGCCTAGAGAAACCACACTGAGGTGAGCTGGGTGTGCCCTTCATGAAGAGCATGACAGGTGCGGCCTTGACAAGGTCTCCTAGACGCTTGAAAAGCTCCTCTTTCTTCCTCTCAGGGTCCTGCTCCTCCTCGACGACAGCATTGTTCGCACCAACACCATTAGGGCCGCTTGCTGCGGCGTTTTCGCCCGACTGCTTTGCCTGTGTTTCGATCGCCGTGCGCACCTTGACAGCACTACTGCCACTGACTGTCTCTACAACCTGACCATTCCTCAAAAGAACGAGGAAGGGAACGGCAGTAACATCGTAGGTCTCGCTCAGGTCACTCAACTCCTCTGCGTTGATAGACACCCACTTAGTGGTAGGAGGCTGAGTGTCTGGGTATTCGGAAGCGAGTGTCGACAGGACGGTAGCCATTTGCGCGCATGGCGCAGCCCAAGGAGCGTGGAACGATACGACGACGAGGGTCGTGGGGGGAACAGAGCCGAGCAGCTGCTCCCACTCGGGGATGCTGGTGATTTCTGTGATGGTCGGCATTTCTGGTGATTATTGAATCGAGCTGCCAGGGTTTCGATCTGATAAGGAAGAAGAGGAGAAAAAAGAGACAGAAACAGTAGTTCTGAGGTTGGTATAGTCTAAGGTTGGTAGAAATTGGCGTAGATCCGCGCGCGACTGGGGGGCGAAGTTCGTCTCTCAAAGTTTGGCGGGGTATTGTAATATTGGCAGAAGAGGGAGGGGCAACAATTGGTGCAAATGGAAAATTGGCCAATGTTGCGTCATTTCGTTTGGCTTCCATTTAATTTTCTATCGCTCGCTGTCGGTCGGCTCGGCATGGACAGCGACGGCAGTACTCCGCTGCCGGAGGCTGGATAGATGCATCCGACTCAATAAGCGAATTCGCATCTGTCATGCTGACATCTAATCTTTCATTGGGAGTTCACATCGCTATAACCAGATTGGAAATTCTACCTACTACTACCTTAGTAGGTATTATCTGCTAAGGTACCTCCTAAACTCCAGCATTGGATCAGACATGTGGAGGGGAGGGGAACACGCAGTGCAGTACCTAACTAGAGATAGAGTACAGCTCATACCTACAGCATGAACAGCACAGCTCAACCCCGCTCAATCCACCATAGACCAGCTAGATCCTAGACCGCCCCAAAGTTGGGCATCTCCAAGCTTTCTAGACTACTAAGGTGCCTGGCCTGAGTGCACACGAAAGCTACCTGCGGGCATCAGCCACACACTCCAGGTAACCCACTCTGTTGTACCCAAACTTCCCACCGTCTTCTGGCTTGCTTTCAACTTCCAATTCCCTACCTTCTGCTTCTTCTGAACCCTGAAAGACGAGGCGAGACCACCCACCGTACAGCAATTCCTTTACCTAAATTAGGTGACGCTGGGCGATACCAAGTTATTTAGGCCCAAACCCATCTCCGGCTACGCCTCCGGAACTTATATCCTGTGGAGCTGCCACCGCAACAATAGCAACGGTGTCAACGTCACCCCCCAACCCCCGTCATCAAACTTGACCTTCGTCAGCTTCGTCTCTCCTTCTCCTTCTTTCCCCATTCCTTTCTTGACTTTGAATTGTCATCTCTCAAAGCTCCCTCAAGATGGCGTCCCTCAATCTCTCCATAAACGGCCCGTCCATCAAGAGCAGCTACAATGGCGTCGTCAACGGTCCCCCGCCATCCTCCGACTCTCCCACCTATGCTCATTGGGCACTCTTCTCAGTCCAGGCCCCTCTTATGAGTGCCTTCCAAGACAGCGGTGCCAAGGAAAGCATTCTTAAGGTCCAAAGCACAGGTGGTATGGAAAACATGACTGTATCTCTTGGAACGACCACATGCTAACAAGTACAACAGATGGCGAGCTTGCAGACCTAATCGAGGACTTCAGCGAAGGCCGAATCCAATTCGCTTTCGCCAGAGTCAAGGACCCTAACAGCGGCCTCCCCAAGAGCATATTGATCGCATGGTGCGGAGAGGGTGTTCCCGAACGAACCAAGGGCTACTTCACCAGCCATCTCGCCGCAGTTTCAAAGGTCCTCCACGGATACCATGTTCAGATTACCGCTCGTTCCGACAGAGATCTTGAAGTTGACTCCATCATGCAAAAGGTGGCCGATGCTTCAGGCGCTAAGTACTCGGCCGGTAGCTCTGACGGCCCTCGTTCCAGCGCTCCTCCTCCCGTCAAGACAAAGCCTGTTTTCACCCCCACCACATCCAGCCGAGCCAACCCTATTGTCGCTGCTCGATCCAAGAAGGACGAGAACGTGGACGAAGATGGTTGGGGCGCTGACGCTCCTCCCGTCACAAGGACTAAGATTGAAAAAGTCGAGTCCGCTTACAAGCCCACAAAGGTCAATATTGCCGATCTCAGCAAGCAACCGACCGCGACTACCAGTGGAGGTGCCCCTATCAACCGAGATGAGACACCTGGCGATGTGGTTAAGGGCGGTTACCAACCCGTTGGCAAGGTCGATATCGCCGCTCTTCGCGCTCAGGCTCAGAAGGACAAGGACGACAGACCGACTCCTGTGAAGGGTTCTTACGAGCCTGTTGGAAAGGTCGACATTGCGGCAATCCGCGCACAGGCAAAGAAGCCCGCCGCTTCCGAAGAGCCCGAGGAAGGCGAGCCACGAGCCGTTTCCCAGCGCATGGCTGCCTTCTCGCAGCCGTCCCAATCTGAGCGCATGACATCGCTCCCGAAACCCAAAGTTGCCAACAAATTTGGAGCTGCCGCAAGCTTTTCAGGTACCAAGGCTCCCGCACCCGGTGGCCTGGGCTTTGGAGCTCCTGCTCCCGAGAAATCTGCCCCTGTTGGTGCTGCGAGCCGCACGTTTGCGGACCAAGGTGGAAAGACTCCAGCCCAGCTCTGGGCTGAGCGAAAGGCTAGGGAAAGGGGAGAATCTGTCGGTAGCAATAACGCTCCCGCTCCGGCTGAAAGTGCTTCTCCCGTCCAGCCCCAGAAGAGCGGAAACGAGTGGAAGAGTGGATACGCTGGTAAGAGCTGGGCTCCCGTTCAGACTGGAGATTATGGAAGGGGTGTTCCTGGACAGATAAGTCAAGAGAACACGGGTGAACAGGCGGAGACACCAGCATCGCCATCGGGGGTGTCTGCTCTGCGAGACAGATTCAAGGACACTATGCCTATCAGTGCTGGAGCTCCTCCTCCTCCTTCAGCCCGTCCTGCACAGGACGACGATTCACCACCGCCACCAGTTCCTGGTGATTCCCGGCCTTCTGGGGGCTTTGCTCTCCCTGGTCTGCCCAATCGACCCATGCCCAAAGACGAGCAGTCAGATGACGAGCGGGAGGACCCCTCAGCTTATGAGACAGCAGCAGAACGGGGACGGTCTCCTTCACCCCCTCGCATTGCTGTACCTGTCAGCCGTGGACCCGAGCCTGACGTTGGCACCCCTCCTGAGCAGCGTGCTCCTCCTCCACTCCCCCCTAGCCAAATCGATGTGCCCAAGGAGTCAGAACTTGCTGATGACAAGGAGGTTTCCACGACCGCCCGCTTCGCTGGTGGTGCGGCTGCGGGTGTTGCTGTAGGAGCTGCTGCCGGCGTTGGAGTCGCTGCCGCCGCTGGTGCTTTCGATCGTGAGCCTAGCCCCGAACCCCAGCATGAGCCCGAGCCCGAGCCCGAACGCGCTCCTTCACCTGCTACTCAACCAACTCAAGAGACTCAGGGCGGTTACCGTGCTGTGATTCAATACGACTACGAGAAGGCCGAGGACAACGAGATCGAACTGGTCGAGGGCGACATTGTCACCAACATTGAGATGGTGGATGAGGATTGGTGGATGGGTACCAACTCCCGAGGTGAGAGCGGTCTCTTCCCTAGCAACTACGTCGAGTTGATCGGAGACGACGAGCCCGAGCAACCGGCTTCCGCTGCGGCACCACCTCCTCCCCCTGTCCCTGCGGCCGAGCCCGAGCCCGAGCCTCAGCCCGAGCCTCAGGCTCCCGCCGCCGCTCAGGCAGATGCTGGTCACACGGCCGTTGCCCTTTACGATTATGAGGCTGCGGAAGATAATGGTAAGAACAAATGCCCAACATGGGTCATGAAATATTGCTAACCATGACTTGTAGAACTAAGCTTCCCCGAAGACGCCACAATCACCAACCTTGAGTTCCCTGACGAGGATTGGTGGTTTGGTCAATATAACGGCCAGACTGGTCTCTTCCCGGCCAACTACGTCCAGCTTAACCAGTAAATCTGGGACTCTTTTTTTTATAGCAATAGTTGAGCGCATTGATTGGGTTCAACTTACAAAACTTAACAGTAGATACGACTTGACGCAATCAGCTCGCGTACAGATTCAAACAGATGATTCATTGTTCTATATCCATATAAATTGGATTTTCATCAAAATCTCGATTGCGTTTACAGTGTTTGTGATTTGTTTGCATGCATCAGTGAATCACACACAGCCGACAACCGAGCCTTATGGAGCATCGACCATTCGTCCGTCACAGCCATGGGCTCTCAACTCCATCCATTTTCATATCGAAGCATATTACAGAATCCAAAAGGCAGGGTATTCATGACGGTATTTCAAATTCAATAAATAAGAGTCGTTTGTTTTTGTTCTTTCTTGGTCTTAACTCTTTTAGAGTAGGACCTATCAAACGTATCGTAAAAATCGTATCCATGGTGATCGGTGTTGGACACTCAGCAGAGACAATCGCAACATTCCATGCTAAAAAGATAAAAAAAAACCGGCCTGTTAGTAACGTGTATAGAACTTCGAGGTGGACAACACGCGACGCTGAATTAGTGCTAGCAAGCAGCACTGATGACGCCAATGACTTTTGTCAATAACTTACCAGCATTCACATCCTTCTTCAGCAACACAGCAGCAGCACAGAGCTGCCAGACAACCTGCTAGACAACCGCCGCCGCCTCCCTTTCCACCACTCTGCTGAGGGGGTGCTTGTTGATATTGCATAGGAGCTTGGCCTTGCGGTGGGCCATAGTATTGTCCTTGTGGAGGACCGTATTGTCCCTGAGGAGGCCCATACTGGCCTTGAGGAGGACCGTATTGGCCTTGGGGAGGGCCGTAGGACTGTTGAATAGAACGGTTAGCAACTGCGACTGAGTTTGAGGGATTGCGCCTGGACAGCATACAGGTTGGGGTTGCTGGGGGTAGCCGCCGCCGCCGCCGCCGTAGTAATCTTGAGCAGACATGATTATCAAAAGATGGAGCTGTTGTCGATGCGATTGGGATGTGCTGAATGTTGCGGCCAATTGTTATATAGGGAGGAAGGTGAGATAACCGCCTGTAATGGAAAGAAAAAAAGGGGAAGACGATGGTAGAGATGAGAAAGTGTGTTGCGCCCGCGAAATGTTATGTAGGTCTGTAGAAGTGAGGTCACGGGCGATGGAGCTAGACTGCAACAACAGCCACACAAGTCCAAGTCACCCAATCAAGGGATTTCCAAGGATGTTGCAAAAAGCTATGTACATACAATGCTGCAAGCACCTACCTACCTGCGCTAAGGGTCTTTCTGCGGGGAGTCCGT